AGATGCCAAAAATACRTGTCAATCAATAGCAATACTTAGATTCCTTAGTTTTTAAATAAATATTGATTTCAGCAATATATTTTATTCAATACTTGCACTGAATATCATTTTCCATAATAATTTAAGCAGCAACTGGTCAATCTGTCAAAACTAGAGAACAACATACGTGGATTCCAACCAGATTTCAGTATCTCTCCTCTCTGCCTGATAGCATATTCATTGCTGTTCTTATTCCTCATGGGAAACTGCTGCAAAGCAGGATGGAGGGAGAGAGTGACAATATTCCACTGCCACATGGAAGCTGTGTTTAAAATAGAGTGACTATTTAAATTTGACAGGAAAATCCCCAGCCATTAAATGCTACCAGTTTCTTCTGAGAGGTTTCTATTAATATTTGCAGTAAATGACTTATGGAAATTAGTCATTAAGTGGTTAGAATATTGCTGGAAATCGTTTTCCTCAAGCCCTTCCCAGTTTTGGGGGAAAATATCAGAATGATATGAGATTCCTTGATGCCCGACAGCAGAACCTAAGGAATTCTCCAAGCTGGAGATCCATACTCTTCTACTGAAATATAGTAACAAGCAGTAACTAGCTTGCAGTCCTTCACCTGATGAAAAAAAAAAAAAAGACTTTATAGGAAAACAAGTTCAAACTCCAAAATTGTCTCTGGCTAACTGCATTTAAAAAAAAAAAAAAAAAAAAAGGATTTTTTTTTAGAAAGTTTCAGCTCCATTGATAACTGGCATAAGTATGAGCCCTGTGATATATCTGCCTCAGGAATGATCTATCACCATCTGCAGATGGTGGATATTGAAGCTGCAGTGCCCAGTGGCTTTACTTAGCAGGCTGTGGTGGTCAGGCTGGGTTTTTTGAGCCTGGCAGGGAGTCTGCAAAGCCATTAGTGGCCCATGAGAAATAGGAAGGTTTGCTGACCCCAACAACTTGCTTGAGGGTAAGTTGGAGATACTTTACTCTGAAAATTGAAGATCTCGCGTTAAAGCTTTGGCATGTTACCCTCCTCTTGCTAAGAGACTGGCATTTTAGTGGGGCTCTGGTTTCTTGTTTTCCAGAGAAACTTCTGGATACAGGGGCCTTTGAAATGCAAGGGTGAGATCCAGCAAGGGGTGCAGGCAAACAAAAAAAAAACGGTTGAAGTAGACAAAGACTTATTAAAATATGTAGTTCATTTTATTGATCTACTGTTTAGCACTTCATCTCCCCAATTCTTTGAATGTCAAAATGCACTTACAAATATAGCCTGGCTTTTGTGTCTAGAGTATTATTCTTATGACTTCATTTTCTTTTAATTGTGATTTGTTTGTGGGGTCAGAATATCTGTAGAGAAMTGCGTAGTGATTTACCCAGTGAGAAAGGGATTTTCATGTGCGATTACCTCCTTTTTATTTGTGCATTTATGAATCCTTTTTTATTTCAGAAATACTTGTATAGCTGCTAATGCTGCTCAAATTGCCATGGTTTTTAGAGAGAATAATGCTTATTGATAGTTCCCACATGCACTGGCAGGCACATCTAAAACCTGTACTTTTGTGTTCGCAGCTTGCATAATATAAAATGTAGAGATTGCTTGTCAAACCAAGTGTCAGCTGAGTTTCCTAGGAAACTCACTAAAGATATTTATAAAACTACAGATCAGCTTAATAATAGATATAATAATGTCAGTAGCTCGTGATTTTTTTTTTTTATTATTATTATTTTATCGGTCCATTTTCCTTTCCTTTAATTTGTTAGCAAACCAACCTGTTACATTTACAAACAGGTATGTTTTGTTCAATGTCAAGGAATTTGTAACACCCTAATGTAAAACTGAAAGCGTCTAAAAGAATCTGAATGTCATACAAATTATGAGGCTGCATCCTTCATAAATAAAGCTGCAGTTGTGAAAGTAGAAGTATAAATATTATATACTGTGTTACGGTTCTAATCACTGTTGAGCTGAATGCMTGAGTTTTAAATTCATTGCACATGCACGAAAAACATTTATTGCAGAATTAGCACTGGTCCTGAGTACAGATTTGTATAGAAGACTTAGAAGCATTGCAATAAGGCATCGTTTTTTGAAAATAATTTTATTGATGAGAGAGCAACTGATGCTGGTGTCCGTTTTTATTAATTCAGTTGTGTTTTTAGAAAGCAATTTAGAAAAATAATTCCACTATTTTAACGCTGTRACAGGGATGAAGTTAGTGTGCTTGGCAACGAGGCAGTTCTAACTCTTTCCTCATTTGGAATCCGTTGCTTGTACCTGCTCTGTGCCTTTGCCTGTCAGAGCTGGCTTTTGATGCTGTGCTAAAAGTAAGGAGCTTGGGTAGAGGATATTCAAGAATTGAATTTCTTTCTAAAAAGTTRGAGTGTAGCTTTTTATGCTTCATCTAGAAGCACTATCTAGAAAATGCAGTTCACGTTTAATGTAGTTGCTAAAGAAACCTTGGGAAACTTGTCTGTCACGCACTGAAAAGGTTAAATTTCTGTAAAACTACAAAATCTATCCAAACCCTAATAATAGTTTTGTGTTGATTTTATCATGCTAATGATGACATTGCTACATGATACAGTGGAGTGACAATTAAAACCTTATAAATCACTGCATTTATTTTAGGATAGATCACATGTGGACTGCAACATTAAAAGCATGAAGTATTACAGCTCTTTCAGCTGATCCCTTGAGGTGTATGTTATTTAACAGAGCTCTGTCTTGAACTCTGGTGTCCCACTGAATTACATGTGAAATATATTCTTTTATTTATCCAAGGGTGGCAGCTTCCAAGTGGAGGACAGCTTGGGCCAGTACTTAGGATGTCAGAGAGCTCAAGTGGAGGCTTGCTGGGAATAAACTCCCAGCCCTTCCATGGGTTATTTGCTATGCAACTTTCTATCCATAATTTACCAGTTAGTAAAACGCAGATGATAACAGTCAGGAACCTCACTGAAGTGCCTGAATAGGTGAGAAAGGTCGGTGTGAGCAGGAAATCCYGAGGTTAAATCAGTTCTAGCAGCATGAGCTTGGTTTTGGCAGGTCAGGATGCGCATCCCTGTTTATACCATCACCTGCCTCCCCACACAAGGAAAGCAGGGCTCCTTGCTGTGCTGCACGGGTTATGGTGGAGCTGTGTTTGTGCACAGATACTGACTCGTGTCCATAGGGTTAGCCAGCACCCAGGAAGTGTTTTTCCCTCTGCATTTATCGTTATGCCTGCTAGGAAAATGCCGAGGAGGCTTTGGAACAGGCAGGGAAACTGTGTCTGTTGCTACTGCTTGAACAGCCACGCTACAGAAAATTACCCCTTGCTTAGGGAGAGATTCTTCTTGGAGGCATTTCTGGATTTGTTTTTTGTCTTCTTCTTCCACCTTATCATGTGCTGCAAGCATATGATGAAAGCTCTGTTAGTGATAGGTACACCCATTAAAAATGCATCTCTCTGTTCCAATATCTGTGTTAAATGCAGGGATCACAGAGGTAAAACTTTGCTGCACAGGATGCAAATCAGCCAAGCAGAAGGTTCTGCTTGAATACAGCTACTTTCTAACAGTTGTTGTCACTAAATGTAAAGATGCACTTTTATACCTGTATATAAGCTTTTGGTAGCTTTGGAGGGCAATAGCAGATTTTGCTAAAGATTAATTTTCGTTGGGACTGTGCAGAAAAAGCTTTGTAACTAGATGCCTCATATGTCGCAGTGCCCCGTGATTGTTTTAAATGTCGTATTTAGACATCACACCTTGATAAAAGAAAAACTGCAGGTTTTAACTGCAGATGTTGGCTTTTTTCCCCCTGTTGTAACAATGGAGGTTCAAAAAAAGGAAAAAATGCAAGTAGATATGTACACAGCATATTTTCCTTGCATTTCAGTTCATATCCGTGGGAAAGTGCTATGAGAATTACAGACAAGCTTTTAGGGGGGTATTTTTTGACCTGGTCAGCGTGTGTGGCCCCAGGGTTAACAGTGAGTCATTGCAAATCACGAGTTCACCATTTTTTTCATTTTTCCCACTACAGTTGAATAGATTCCACATGTACACCCTTAAATATTAGCAGAAATGGGAAAACTTGCCTGTTGATAAATCTTCATATTACTGTAGCAGGGTGAGTCAGCCAGTGGGGTATTCGCTGCCAAATATAAACAACCATGCAGAATTCAAGCAAGCTTCTAAGTCAGGCAGGCAGGACAAGAAGAGGAGCCATCTGGGCTCGGACAAACACTAAGAAACAGGTGAAAGTCAGGAAAGAAAACCTGTTTTTTTTTAGCTCTATGTATRAAGTTACATTTTTATATCCTTATTGCTGCTATTCTAACATGCTCCAGTTAAACTTGAAAAGGTTTCTAGTATAAACAGTGAGTGTGGTGCCCCTCTTTTCCTGCCTCCCTGGCTCTTTTTTGCAGTCTTAAGTCTTTGTTTATGCATTATACTCTATCTTGACAATGTGAAGAGTCGCAATGCTTAACCACTGTTTCATGCCCGTTTTGGTGGCCAGGTCTTATGCTTTAGCTGCAGTGTTAGAGGACAGCATTTCAGGATGTGCTTGTGCATATTAATAATTCTTATATTTGTATACCTTAACCTAACATTTTTGGTACCATAATCAACATTAATATTACTCTGGATGAAGGAAGTTCTCTCTATTTTCATTTTTAAACTCAAAAATATTACTTTTATTTAAATAACCTCAAAATGTTATGACACATAAATAGCCTCAGTATTTTTTTAGTGGACCTCACAAAATTTTAGTGTTTTATTGCATTTGGACTCCTTCTGGATACTGTAAGTGTAAAAGCACTGTATTGAAACCAAGTCTGAAAAGAATTTGCTTGCCTTGAAAAATGCAAACTCAATCAATGGAGGTAAATTATTGGACTGATGCCTTTACCATTTGACATCTGTTTTACTTTGCAGCTCGGACCTAAACCAGAAAAAATAGTGAAAATTACTATACTAGATGAGATTTTACATATCTAAGTGCATATTTATTTTTCTTCCAGCTTTTTAGAACGAATCGACAGCGTCAGCATGGATGACTACACACCTACAGATCAGGTTAGTGCAACTAAGGGGATAGAGTCGGAACCAGGACACCCCTTTGTATAAATTCTTTATATCATTTATTTTAGTCCCACCTGCCTTTGAAATAGAGCATCCTGCATAGTTTCAAAACACAATCGAAGTAATGGATATTAAAGAAGAAGAGGCTTTTCAGTGGGGCAAGTTCGTCTTTCGTTGTCAACATATCTAGGTCAGCAATTCCTGCAATACGTCCGTTGTTTCTTCTCACTTCCCATTCTGTGTCCCACAAACACACAACACAGTCACACACAGTGGGACACAAAACACACATAGTCACACACAGTTTCCAGCACCAGCCTTCACTGCACAGAAGCCACCTCTCATATGAGCTCTGCCACCCTCACAGGAAAGAAGTTCTTGCTCTTATGGACATGAAACTCCCTGTGTTTCAGTTTGTAGCCATTACCCCTTGTTCTGTCTCTGGCCACTGCCGTTGTCCGGGTGCTGGAGACCTGTGGGTGATGCAGACCACAGGCACTAGACTCCTTTTTTCAGCCTTTTCCTTTCTGATAATATCTATATCAACCTTATTTGAAGGACAGCAGACTTCACTTTCCTGTTCACATTGGGACTCAGCTGCAGCACTTGCATTCACAATGTTTGCTAAGGCTTTTGGCCACTGACCAAAATTTTGGTCKTTAGTCACTTTTTTTTTCAAGTTCATTGATAATCTATTCAGTGCTCTGAGACAATATGGAAAATTTAGGAGTGATGCAGTAAGGAAGGGCTACACAAAGTGGCATCCCTGGTTGCATTAAGTAGGTTCTTATTCAGGCGGACTGAGACTTGAGGTCACAGATTCACAGAATCACAGAATATTCAAGGTTGGAAGGGACCTCTACAGATCATCTAGTCCAACCTTCCTGCTCAAGCAGGCACACCTACAGCATGTGGCACAGGGCGGCATCCAGGCGGGTTTTGAAGACCTCCAGAGTAGGAGACTCCACAACCTCCCTGGGCAGCCTGTTCCACTGCTCTGTCACCCTCACAGTAAAGAAGTTGCTCCTCACCTGGAGACGGAACTTCTTGTGCTTCAGCTTGTGGCCATTACCCCTCGTCCTATCGCTGGCCACCAGTGAGAACAGCCTGTCCCCTTCCTCCCTGCATTCTCCCTTCCTGAACGTATACATATTAATCATATCCCCTCTGAGCCGTCTCTTCTCCAGAGAAAACAGGCCCAGCTCRCTCAGCCTCTCTTCATACGAGAGATGTTCCATTCCCTTAATCATCCTGGTTGCCCTTCTCTGGACCCTCTCGAGAAGCTCCAYGTCCCTCCTATACTGGGGTGCCCAGAACTGMACACAGTACTCCAGGTGYRGCCTCACCAGAGCTGAGGAGAGGGGCAGAATCACCTCCCTTGACCTGCTGGCAACATCCTCCTGATGCAGCCAGGATCCCATTGGCCTTCYTGGCCACGAGGGCACACTGCTCACTCATGGTTAACTTAGTGTCACTCATGGTTAACTTAGTGTCAACCAGGACTCCCAGGTCCCTCTCCATGGAGGTGCTTTCCAGCAGGTCGACCCCTAATCTGTACTGATGCCTGGGRTTATTCCTCCCCAGGTGCAGGACCCTGCACTTGTCCGTATTGAAACTCATGAGGTTCCTCTCTGCCCAACTCTCCAGCCTGTCCAGGTCCCTCTGGATGGCAGCACAGCCCTCATTCTTTTCCAGTGCTGCTATCCCACCACATTCATGGGATAGAGAAGAGGTGGAGAAGAGAAGACTGAGAGAGGATCTGGTCAATATGTACAAATACCTGCGGGAAGAATGTAGGGAGGATGGGGCTAAACTCTTCTCGGTGGTGGCCAGTGATAGTGCAAGGGGTAATGGGTRTAAGTTGACACACAGACAGTTCCATCTSCATGTGAGGAGGAGCTTCTTCCCTGTGAGGGTGACAGAGCCCTGGCACAGGCTGCCCAGGGAGGCTGTGGAGTCTCYTTCTCTGGAGATCTTCCAAACCTGCCTGGATGCCGCCCTGTGCCCCGTGCTCTGGGTGTSCCTGCTKGAGCAGGGGGTTGGACTAGGTGATCTCTAGAGGTCCCTTCCAACCTCAGCCCTTCTGTGACTCTGTCTGTGTAGAGGAGGTTTTATGACTTGCTTTGGGATTTTCATCCCATTATATTGCAACAGCTTTTCTTGACAAATTAAACTGCTAAAAATCACTGCCTTCCTCTTCTCCTTCCTTCCTTCTTTAACCCCCAAAAGAGTAACTAAATCCAACCGTAAAACTAAATGGCAATAAGTAACAATAAATGGTGGAGCCTATAAAACAACTCAAACAACAGCCCAGGCGGCCCATGGCTGCTAACGCGGCAGAGGTCTGTCAGCTGGAGGAGACAGGTATTTGGGTAGGGGGAAGAGACGAGCTGAGCTTGTCTCCTTGGAGCCCTCCCCAACTTGTTCCTCTTTCCCTACCCATTGCTGGAGCTCCTTGATGACAAGGAGACCTAAGCTAGTGATGATGGTGYTTGGGGACATGGTTGTGTCAAGGTATTCAGAGTAAACAAAATTTGTGTTCTTCCTTTGAAAATCTAGGAGGTTGTAATTTTGTTGTTGCTATTAAAAAAATGTTACTTGGGTTGTAAAGTATTGCTTGTTTGAAAAATAGGGAAGAAATGCCAGATTTACCTACAACCCAATTTTTTTTTCCCTTGTGCACTGTAATAGAGCTTTAATTACTTAGTCACGAGCTATTATTTCAATAGGATTCCTGTCTCATTCAGTACAAAAGRGGGCAGAGCTAAGGTTGCCTGGACAGCTGTAAATTTGGAGTTTTCTAACATTTAAATACTTGACTTCACATCAAGAATAAATTTTATTTTTCTCATTAGTCTTATGTAATGTCAACATTCATTATCCACATCGTGTATAAAATTATATGACTGTCAGTAACAGGATTCAGGATGTGCTAAGGAGGATGCATGTGGGACATGCCCCTTCTTTCAGAATATGCAACAAGGCAGGTTCAGAAATGAGGTCTGTGTTGATCTACTTTGTCAGTATGGACAAATAGATATTTACCAAAAATTCTAGTTTAACTTTAATTAAATGGAACATTTAAGACTTTCCATGTTAAATGAACGTATGGAAAAAAAATCCATGCTTTTTAAAACAGAACTATGATAGTAAAAGATCTCTTTAATCAGCTTCTGTGTTCTCATTTCCAGGACCTATTACGATGCAGAGTTTTGACATCAGGGATATTTGAAACAAGATTTCAAGTAGATAAAGTAAATTTCCAGTAAGTCTGTTAATAATAATTTATGATTTGCATACTAATTGCGACATAGTTCCTATGTCCATGCTTGGGTATTGTGGGTATGGTCCATTTGGGAGAAGGTTGGAGGACTCTTGGCAGGGGGTTCGGATATCTTTCTTTAGCATGCTGTACATAATCCCTAATAACAGTTGCCTCATACTTTTGTAATAAAACCTGATATTTTATTAGCTGCTATTAGTGTTGCTCTATTGTGAGGTTATCTTTGGCTGTTTTTACTAACTAGTTCATTGATACAACACTGTAAACTCATAAAACACTTTTGGGGCTAAGATCCTGCAGAACTTAGTAGAAATGCTGCCAAGAGTCAGAGTTTGTGCGAGGGGACAAAGAGAGTCAAATGTTTCCTTCTCGTGAGGGCTGCTGCTTGTGGCCTTTGCAGTTCTGTGCTGCGTCTCCATTCAAATGCACCCAGTCTGGCTAGCTCTGCTTGCTGGACCTAAGAAAGAAAAGTAGCAACTCTGACTGGGGAAAAACTGTATTTCACTTAAGATGGATGGATAAAGGGATGGAGAGATAGGGAGATGTGCTCTCTCTCCACCACCACTTCAAATTATGCTGCTTATTTACAATACATTAGACCCAGCCATGCATGCGATCCCAACCATATGCATTTTTGCAGCCTGGAAAAGCCAGCCCTTCCCTGGAAAGGAGTGTTTCTCCTTTGGCGGGGATGGTTCAGAAGCGCTGCCAGGGCAGAGCCAGGGGGAGATTTTGGCAGCTCACCCACAAGCAACACGGCCTCAGAAATCCCTCTTTCCCTTCTGGCAGTATGAAATGCTGCCGCCCTTGGAGCTGTCAGGTTGTTGCACCAAACCCTCATGCTGCATGCTGCGTGTGACTTTCCTAGTGCACATAAGTGATATAACATCCTATGGCTTTTTAACAGCATGTTTGATGTAGGTGGCCAGAGAGATGAGAGGAGAAAATGGATCCAATGCTTTAATGGTGAGTAAAAATAATCCATGTTTTTATTTTGAACTCATTCTTGGCTGTGTGAGAAGCTTAGTGTCCACACTGTTTTATTTATGCTGAGAACAGTGTGTGTCACTCATATTGGAATCTGATGTTATATACATACTTTGATGACATTTATGGTGGTTTGGGGAGCAAGGCGAGTGTTACCTTGTGGAGCTTGTTCTGGGATAATGAAAATATTCCTTTTTCTGCCATTTTTTTTTCTGTCCAGATGTCACGGCTATAATCTTCGTTGTGGCTTGCAGCAGCTACAACATGGTAATAAGGGAAGACAATAACACAAATAGACTACGAGAATCCCTGGACCTTTTCAAAAGTATCTGGAATAACAGGTAAGTCCTATCTTTCCATGAGCTTTTCTTTTTTTTTTTCCTCTTGCAGAGAGGAAAGATATTTCAGATCTAATCCAATTGTAACTGCCATCAACTTGCCATTCTCCTACGACACAGGTAAATTATAGATACAATAACTAAACAGCAATCCAAATGGATTCCTAGTGGCAAATAAGTAAAAATGAGACATAAAATAAAATAAAATAAAATAAAATAAAATAAAATAAAATAAAATAAAATAAAATAAAATAAAATAAAATAAAATAAATAAAGATGGTGCAGACTTTCCAAAATACACCTGTCATGAAGCTCTGAACTGAAGGTAGAGTATGGAAAAATTTTAAGCCCAAATTCCGAAGGGACATTGTCATGCTAATGGCTAGGAACATTATTAGAGGAAAAAGGGAAATGATCTTCTTTTGATTCATGAAGAATCACACAAGCCATCCTGAAAGACAGAATATTGATGTGGGTGAACTAATAGTTACAGCAGAGCACTTGGAGAAGAGGTAATTGTCTAGTCTTTCTCTCTTGTTTCAGCAGAGCCAAGCACAGGAGATAGTATTGCTAATTTTTGGACCATACTTTTAGGAAATGTCATTATTTTCCCAACTTCATATCAAAAGCATGATTTATAAAACAGTATTTGAAGACAGTTCCTTTCATCAGTGTCTAAGGTAGTATTCATAAACATATTTATAGACCCTRTAAATGTATCCACGTGCATAGGTGCAGGATAGTTGAAACACTGCTTGAGGCCATGGCCTAGGTCATGGTTTTTCTGTTGAAGCATGATCCAAATTGCTTCACTCTATATCCATGAAGGAATAGCCAGCAAATTTTCTGTTGAAGTGGTATGTTTTGTTTGATGAGTAACACTAGCATTTGGGTTTTTTTTGACAGGTGGTTGCGGACCATTTCTATCATTTTGTTCTTGAATAAACAAGACATGCTAGCTGAAAAAGTCTTGGCAGGGAAATCAAAAATTGAAGATTACTTTCCCGAATATGCGCATTATACTGTACCTGAGGATGGTAAGATTTTTCACAGCTTTGGGATATAACTAGCTGATATAGTTACACCTTTCACTTGTTTGCTTTTTGGGTTGTTTTTCCTTTCTGTCTCCCATGCACATTCACAAATGCACGCAATCCCTTAACAAGAAATACTGTTGCACCACGACAGAAAACTAAAGCAGCACGCCCTTGTGCAGTGGAAGCCATCCCTTCCCGGGGCCTGGCAGGCAGAGCTGTGCATTTCAGCATTCACAAATGCCAGGAGATCAGCAAGAGTGTAATGGAGGAAGAAAACATTAATAAGTACCAGAGGAAAATATAAAAGGGATGGCCAAGAGCCAGCCTGTGCTTGGTCTCAGGTTATTTCCGAAGGTGCTGTGATTCCTGCACTGCAGCAGCAGATTGCATAAGGAGCCTTGGGGAGGGTGGCTATTTTATAGCAGGCAGTTTAGGTGCAGAGAGATCCTTGCCCACCCAGTATCTCAGCTCCATGTCTAGCAAGAGGAGTAAAACCTGTGGTTTTGGACCACTAGGCTCTGCTTTTGCCGAATGACGCTGTCCCTGGCATTGGGCTTTTGGAGATCTGTCAGCAAAGGCTTTTGCTCTGCTCTTGCCATCCCTAACGGTGTAGGTTACCACAGTGAAGGTGCAGTGAACTGTTTCAGCTTTCAGTCAGTCCTGGGAATTTCAAAAGCATGTTGCTACATTCCTAGTGGAAAGGGTAGATGAATTTTCCTTTCTTAAGGCCTGAGCTAGCTGGGCACCAATTTGTTAGTGCCAAGAGCTTTCAGAAGAAACCATCCACCACTGACATGCACCCTAGGTGAGCAGAGGGGTTGGGTGAGTTCATTTTTCCCAGTAAGCAAGCTGTCAGATTTGGGTTGCTTGCTGTGTTTCTCAGTGGGATTTCACCCCAGCTACTCAGAATGAGCATGAATGTCTACACCTGAAGCAGCTCTCTACTTTTAATGTTTAATTGCTCATTTATTCTTTAGCTACAGCTGWCTTGACTGACTGAAATCTAAGGTGCTGCTTCTTGTGCTGCTACTCTAGGCTCACTCTTCCTGTTACAGATGAGAGCAGACTATGTGTTTCCCTGTTCTCATAAATTCTGTCCATTATCCTGTTATGTTTAATAGGATATATTATGTTATTGGGGTCTGAMAGGACCATGTGGATACTAAAGTGGTACTTTTTTCCAAGTGTAATCTTAAGCAACCATTTTAAAACCCAAATTGCTGCGTGCAGAAGTTTTCTTCAAGAGATGCAGTTTTGCTGAGCGACCTGATCAGCTCAGCAGCTTTATCGAGTTTATGTTTTCTTACAGAAGTTGAACCCTCACTAGCACTTGCTTTGTATCTATGTGAACAGAAATATGGGTGTGAGCAAGCCTCTTTTTGACATGACTGAGGACACCGTTCCAATAATTCAGGCTCTGTGCGAGTCCCTGAAAGGTGTTAGGTGTTCAGACATTTATTTCAGTTTTACAGTACTCTTTCATTTTAGAATTGCCTAATTTAGAATCAATTTAGATTTAGAATCTGCAGTGGATATTTAATATTTTAAAGGACTATTCCCTGCATTGTAGGACAATGGACTACTTAGTACATCTTTTACTGAGTAAAAATCTTTTACTCAGTAAGTGAAGTGATTGTGGGTTTATTTGTTGTTTTGTTTTGTTTTTTTATGTGTCTGATGTAATTTATTTTTTAATTGAACAGCAACACCAGATGCAGGAGAAGACCCCAAAGTCACAAGAGCCAAGTTCTTCATCCGGGATGAGTTTTTAGTGAGTAATTTCATTTTATTCATGATTTYATGATAGGAGATACTGGCAAGCAGCATAATCAATTTAGGGAAAATTGATGGGATTTTCCCAGAAGGAATCTGGGAGGAGAAAAGGATGTCTGGCAGCAGTTTCCTGCTTCCTTCCAGCTGTTTGGCCTTTTCCAGTGGCTRTAATATCCGTTTTATGTAGTGCCACCTGACCTGCAGAGTGTCACACAGCGGGTGCTAGGGCTGGTACCTGTGCAGGGCGAGGAATCCAGTGCAACAGGCAAGAACAGAGCTGCTCTTCTGGCAAGGTGCTCAGCTCCTGGTACCTGGTGGGKGCCGAGGGCTTTTTCCCCGCGCACGGCAGCCAGTGACGTGGGACAACTTCTTTTCCCCCAGTGAGGTTTTCTGTGATTGAGGTTGCTTGTGATGGGTGTTGCTTTACTGACTACTGACTGTTGCTGTGACTGTTCAGTTTGCACATCAGCCCCATCCTAGGCCATGCAAATAGGCTTCTTTTGTATCCTGCAGCCCCCCAGGCGGCTTTGGTCAGCTAGCCAGGGGGAACAAAGGGAAAAAAACCCACAGATTTAGTGTTTAAATAGCATTTTGGATGCCTGCGTTGTGCCATTGGGAGGCTGGTCTCACCCTGGCGCTGCTGGGGAGTCGCTGAGGACACTCAGGTGTTCGTCCCGAGGCGGCTTTTGTGACGGGGCTGCAATGAAGCGGTGCTGCCCGCGCAGCGCTGCCCTGTGCCACTGGTGCCACCGCTGCCGGTGACGCCGGCACAGCCTGGCGCTGCTGCCGGACACAGGCCGCTTAGTCCGAAATCACCCGGTGACTTTGGGTCGTGTCGAGGCCTTGCAGCTGCGCGACGCGGAAGCAGAGGCCAGAGCTGAAGCAGCTGGAGCTGCTCCGTGTCCTGCCCTCCTTGCAGAAAACAGATGGGGGTGTCCAAAAGAGCAAGTTAAATTATTAGAATGAAGAGTTTTAAATTCATTACGCATTTRAAAGCATTGCTAGGATTTACAGCTGTTGATGCAACAACAAAGAAAGAAGCAGATGATCGTGTTCACAGTTTGGGGGTTTCCATTCCCCAGCCTGGCCTCTGGATTATGAGGAAAGCCATGAGCCTGCAGCGCATCGCAGCCAGGGTGATGAGGCAGAAACTCTTCCAGCYGCATCTCCTGTGTGGTTATCCATGACCTTTTCCTTGTCCTCTCAGTTTGCTTTGAGAGATAGTTTGGGGTGGGAGGGGAGGGACACCCTCTTTATGCTTTTTCAGTCCTTATTGGGGTTTGATGGCTTCATGGAGCAGCTCCCTGTGTCTCCTGGGGCTCTCCGTCGGCTCACCCGCACYGCAGATGCTGCCCCCCGTCCGGGGCAGACATGGAGAAGGCAAATTAACAGGGCGCCTTCCCAACAAGTGCTGCCGGGAGGCAGTGTGTGCGGATGAGGAAGACGAAAGGCGCTGCTCCCGGATTTCCGCGTTCAACGTGGCCTCCTGCTGCCTTCAGCAGGAGCGCTGCTGACCCGCTACCCAGCACATCCCGGCCGATAATCTTYATGTTGCGGAAGCGCCGGGCGAGCCCTGGTGGGAAATGCCCCTTGCTGGTGTCCCCAGCCCGCTGTGCCGGCCACCCCAGCCCCGGCTGCGCTCTCCGTTCCCCATGGATCGGCCACCACCTCATGCCCAGCTGGAGCTGCTGCCCCTCTCCCAGGAATCCCCTCTAGCGGGAAGCACTCCTGCCCTCTGACCTCGCGCCTCTGGCCCAGCACAGCCTCCCGCTGCCTCCCAATCCGATTAAACACAGTGCTCCTGTGCGCCGCGTCCGGCAGCTCCTCTCCCGCCCCGTGTGTCCCTGCCGGAGCGGGGGGTYGGACTAGATGGTCCCGAGGGCTCCCTTCCAGCCTCAGCCCCGCTGTGCTGCTGTGACCCTGGCTGTTTTAGTGCGTCTCCGGGGTGCAGATGAGCCCCACTGAAACACGGGCAGGGCACCCGCTGCCTCCTGCTGGTCCTCAAAAACCTGTGCGTTGAGGGAGCTGTTGAGATTCCTTGAATAGCACATAGGGATCCTTTCTGGATCAGAGAGGAAGAACATTGTATTTTAGTGTTTATCGCTTATGATTTATAATGACATTAGAAAGAGTTATTAAAAAATGAGTGTCTCAAAGCCTGACTTTTGCACTTCCTAAGTTCTCATACACACTCTTGAAGATGGAAGATCCAGAGTGGGTTTATAGAGTGGATCTGTGTCAGCCTAAAGCAACACAGAACAAATCTTGCGATGTTAGTGTCYTTTAAAATCCTGGGAAATCTAGCCAGAGAAGCCATTCGGGAACTTCCATTGGGAAGCTGCACGGCTGCTGCAGCCTTGCGAAACCTGGATTGGGAGAGGGCGGCCGCTTCCCGGGACGCTGCGTTTGCGGAGCGCGGTGCTGGCCGCCAGCGGGGCCCGGCAGCCTGTGGCGGCCGGCGTGTGCCGAGGTGCCCTCCGGAACGGCCCCGGCGGCTCGCAGCGCAGCGCGTGCCGAGGTGCTGACCCGCTGCTGCTGCAAGGGAGCTTGGCTGCTGCAAGGCTCAGTCGCCTTGGAGGCGACTGGAGTCCTTTCWGAGAGAGAGGACTTTGGTCACGTCCAGTGTGAAAACATATTATATATGTGTGTGTGTGTATGTATAAATCACAGAGCCACAGAATGGTTGCATGTGGAAGGGACCTCTGGAGATCATCCAGTCCAACCCCCACATAGTAAGTTACATATATATGAAATCACAGGTATAATATTGCCATGTTCACACACCCCCATCCTCCCCATATCCCTTCCCCGTTTCTGGTAGCGGGTGAGTCCGTGGGTGCCCCCGGAGCCGAGGAGCCTTCCCGTAACGTCCCTCCTTCCTGTTTCCGCAGCGGATAAGCACGGCGAGCGGCGACGGCCGGCACTACTGCTACCCGCACTTCACCTGTGCCGTGGACACAGAAAACATCCGCAGGGTGTTCAACGACTGTCGGGACATCATCCAGCGAATGCACCTTCGCCAGTACGAACTCTTGTGAGGGGGATCACCGTGGAACCTGTGGTTTTAAATTCTTTGCTCCTTACTCTTTCTCTTGATACTACCCCACACAGGGTGGAAGAATATGCTCTAGAAATGTCAGTCTCCTCACTTTGTTTACTTTAATTATTTAACCTTAAAGCTGATTTGAAGCAAGTCTGGGTTCCTTTCCTTCATGCTTCCTGGGACTGTTTTTGTGCTTTATTTTGACATGCCACTTCTTCGTCATTCCACTAAGCCCTTTGGCTACCTCTGTTCCCTTAGGTTTCGTTTTTTTAGCTGAACATAACCCGCTAAATTTTTTCCAGCGGGTTGATGTTCGTGCAAACTGGTATGTCAGCCGGATGACRCTGCGGTCATTCCTATCCCTCTGTGTGGGTTTCCTTTTTAACATGACATTGAAGAGTACTTGATGGGTGAAAAAGATTAATGCACTTTGTATCAGGTTATTAAATACTGTTGAGGAAGTAGACACACAATGTAGCAGCACCACAATATTTATTACTCTGTCACAGTTTTTAGCATTTCTGAGTTGCAGGTCAACTGATAAAGTGACCTCCTCTTTTACGCCGTTACTGGCACAGGAAGTAGAGTAGAAGATGAGAGGAACGGTGAAGACGAAGCAATTTCTCTGGGGTTTTGGAGCTAAGTGTCTGTGCACACCTCAGGCATTTGAATTACAGCTACTTTTCAGCCTGTTGCATCTAGGCAGAAAACTTACCACCCTCACTTGCGTTATTTGTGCTGTCCACAAATGATCCTTTTCGTTCAGATCATTCTTGGACAATGGTCCTCTCCCTATATATATTTTTTTGTTTTACTGCTGGTTTATTATATTGTACAGACTGTAAAATGTAATATTATTTTGTACAACTTTATTGAAGAAAAATACTTGTAGAAGATCTTTGTGCCTTGATTATGGCTGTACCTGTAAAATGAGCTAAGATGTAAGTATGTTTTTGATTGCGCTGTACAGCTTGATGTCAACCTTACCTGCAGCAGTGACTGAAGGTAAGAACTTTATCTGTAGAGTTTAGGGTTTTTTTTCTGGTTTATATAAAGATGCTCTTTAGTATAAAAATTATAAATTATGCAAATTAACCACTTACCTTTCCAAGTAAGGTATTCCAGTCACCGGATGTTGCAGCAAACATGCCTTTCTCTTTTGAAATCTCAGCTTTAAAACATTGGAATTCATTCAAGTGTCCAAATTGCAACCTGGTGTTGTTTTAATGGGAACCAAGGATCTTATCTTCCCCCCCCCCCCCCCCYYTTTTTTTTTCCCCCTCCCCTTTATATTTAGAAAAATATGTTTGGTAATTCTTTGGTCATTCATAGAACTTCACAATTGCAGAGACCGATTGTGAATGTGTAAAGCACCATTATATAGAGCTCTTCAATCTTTGTACCAACAGCGGCTTTCATTGTGCAAGTAAATAGCAAGAAAGAAGAAAAAAAGAAAAAAGAAAAAAAAAAGGTGTATAAACCCTTGTGTCTGGCCTAAGAGAATTACAAGATGACATTTTTATTTCTCTTTTAATAAAGAGACACATTAGAAAATTGTTTTATTTTAAATATTGTAGAATCAAAATGTGTGAATATTTCTCAAACTTGAATAATTTATGCAAATGACATTCTCAAAACACGTTGTGGTACAGTACAATATATAAAAAGCAAGAATTGCTGTAGCAATAAGGCATGTCCTTTTTAGTAACTATAACACTGCTTTATATTTTATACATAGGTGTTTTATGTCTGTGACTATATACTTTTCCTGTGTCCAAGATAACCTGTACAAATGTCTAAAATTACAGTTGCAATAACAGAAACCTAGAGAAGTGTTAGACTACATTACTTTATGGAATGTTTTACCACACTTGGGCACATCTCCACACTTCACTTTAAATTTAGGGAGAGATGCAGCTCTAGCACATTCCCAACAATGCCGCTTAACTCACTGGGGTCGGGCGCCCCTGCATTGTTGTTATTTGTAAGCCCTGATCAGTCGTCTTTTAAATTCAGGCTACGAAATTCAGTACTTGTTTCTACGTGACGATAAATAATCCCATTTTAGATACTATATAACGCGACCACTTCCGTTTCTCAGAAACGTGTGTGTTTTGATATTCCGCTTCTCAACTTAGCGGTCATCAGATATTTCCCAGAAAGTGCCAGGCTGGGTAGAATAACCGGGTACCAACGGAGATTCCCAAAGGCAAAGATTCCCTCGCTCACCCTGCCGAGGAATGTGGAGGGGCTCCCTCCTCCCCCGACTCCCTAAGTCCAGCTTTGTGGTTAGGAGCAGCCGCCAGGCCCGGCCTCACGGTTGGAGCGCCGGCGTCTGCAGCGCGGGCAGAGGAAAATGAGCCCTGGTTGTGGAAGCGGCGCCGTTTTCCCCGAGGCCGCTGGGTTTGTGACGGCTGCCCCACAGCCGCTCTGCCCCCCGCGAGCACCGCAGCTCAAGGCCAGCCCCACGGGGCGCCCCTTCGGGGGGCACAGSGACGGTCCCGGGGTGCCCTTGCTGCAGCTGTGCTTGACCTTCCTTCCTGCAGAAGATCCGCAGCGGGAGGGCCCCTCACCACACACATCTCTGGGATGCAATAGGGCCCTCTTTTTTTAAGCTCATCATAGCACATCTTTTTAAAAACAGCAGCTTGAGGTGTCACCCTACGTTTTGGGTTTTTTTTAGGCAGGTTTGAAGTGTGTTTCAGCAAACTGGATCCGCGAGGCTCCTTCCCGTTGTTGTCTGGCAGACAATGACCGCAGATTGTGCCGGGCTGCCAGCCTGACGCGTCGGGAAGGGGAAGGTTTCTTGTCCCAGCCGACAGCCCCTCACCTGTGGCGCTCTAAACATTAAGCAAACCTGCATCTCGGTGCTGATGCATCCAGCTTCTGCCTGACCCCGCCACACACAAGTAGGACTTCAGAAGGGCCATGCAGCAATAAAATGGAGAAACGTTTTCCAGTTTGCAGGACTGAGCCTCCACCAGGGTAAGACACTAGTGCAGATAAGTGATGAGGYGAGAGGATTTACATAATGTACAGCTGAACTTTTAATATACATATTTGATACAAAAATTATAGCAGGAAAAGGACTCGTTTGATTGTAGAATACAGTATTTTTGTACAGCATGAAACATTCATTTCAGTTATTTATCCTGTAGTAGTCATATCAGCTGTATAGGACTTCTATGGTATGTGTAAATGCAACCTGCCGTCAGACTAGCGATCCAATTAGGTCATTTGCTGGCATGAATATAGTCTGATGTTGGACTGTTCTCAGCTTTGGTGTTTCAGTGACTGAATGCAGATGTCTGGCTCTTCATACTGCTTTATGCTTACTGATTAAACGCTGAGCAAAATAAACCGGTGGCGTGAGAAGCTGACAGTGAGCTAGCAGCAGGACGGCGAGCAGCGCGCCCGCTGCGCCGTACGCAGCCAACACTCTGCTCTCGCTCGGAAGGAAGCACTTTCGGAGCGCGAAGTCGGTCGGCGTTAGGCTGCCCTGGGGAAGCACGGAGGCCGTCAGGCGGCTCCCGCGGCTGCGCGGGGCCCAGCGTGCCCCGTGCGGGCAGCGCAGCCGGCTCCCGCTCCGAGCTGCCGGCGAGCAAAGCCAAATTTGAGCTGCCGTAAACCCACCTGGCGGCGCCTCGCTAGGCTTGAGCTGGGCTTTGTGAGCGCGCCCCTTCCTTCCTCCTCTCCCGGCCCTCCTCCTACCCAGCTGCAAAACCCATGTTGGCTAATCCAGACTCCTAGCAGGGGCTGAGACAGTAACATAGGGGACCTTACTGCGGTGTGGGCTCGAATTTGCCATCCAAATTGAAGTCTGCAGAAGCCTGAGGCTGGTTTGAAGGGGTAGTGAGGACGAGGCCACTGTGATGAGCCGAGCTGCGGGCAGTGAGGACGCTCTGCCCGGCCCGTGCACAGAGCACGCGTAGGTTGAAGGCAGCTACTCTCAGGAATACGGGATAAACAGAACTACTTTTATATTCCTACTATAGCGAGGAATATTAACAGCTGCATGGAATTAATTTAAAATTGTGGGACTACCTATGTAATAAACAGCCTCTACTCAAGAGCAGCAAAATACACTCGAGATTTTTTGCCCCAGGCCACAGATTACTCTGTGAACAGGACTGTAGGTTTTGCTTCTTACTCCAAGTTTTTAAGAGTTCTGTTTTCTTTCTTGAACTGGGGACCTCCTTGATTTACCTCCAAGGCTACACAGAGCACTGGAACTACCTGTGAGAGCATAACCGGGCCGCGGGCAGAGAGGCGGCAGCCGAGGGGCGAAGGCGGCTCCGCGCCGAGGGGTCCGACGCCGCGAGCGCCGCGCCGGCGCCGACCGCCACGCGGGCCGGCTCGCAGAGCTGCTGGGACACCCACCGAGCAACACGAGTCTTGCTGCTGTTCAGTGCACAACACTSGCCGTCTTTACAAGTCACTAGTTTACAATGCACCCTCTTCATGAGAAAATACGTTAGATGCTTGTACCCGTATATGGATTAGGGCTTTAACGGCATTGCTTTGTACCACACGGAACATGTGGCTCCCACAGATGTACTTGGTAGAGTGGATGCAGTGTACGGAGTGGGTTGGGTGGGGAGGCAACTTTTTTATTTTTATTTTTGTTTTTTACAGGTAGAATCAGTTTTAAAGTATAGCTGACTGCCATGTTGATTTATTTATGAAAGTTATCTGACAAAAATAAAAAAAAATTAAAACTTACCATGATGAAACTAGGGTTGTTTCTGTTCCTCCAGCTGAACGAGGGGACACTGATTTCCGGAATCCTGCCTGCATGCAGCACTTCACAGGCACTATGTGTGTGTCCACTGAGAACCAGGCGGGGATGAAACCACCACAGCAGCTGGAATASAAAATGGCAAAGCCAGAAGTTGAGTCATAACTAACACTAAATTAAATTAATAACCAATTTTCTTTCTCGGACAGAATAAAAATAGAAGGGGTGCTAGTACTCTTACAGTAAGACTGCCTTGTATAAACTACTGTTTTCCASGAAAACACTTGCTTCTGTTGTCATATTCGACACACTCACTTGGCCCTTATCCCAGATACTGGAATTTTTTGGTGGGGGGGTGGGAAGTGGGGCAACCAAAGATCGGAACAACAAAGCCAAAACCAGGTTGTTTTGTTGGCGTTACAAATGAAAGGAGCTTCGTTTTAATAAATCACTGCTGTTTCTCACCTAGGGGAGAATTCTGTACTGCCAGTTTTGAGCAAACACATTTCCAAAGGAGGAAGCAAACCCTGCCCATTAGGTTCGCTGGGAATATTTCCCCTTGGCCTTACCTTGTAGCAATTAATCCAGCGCTTCCGGAGCGCTGGGGACAGTAACTTTCTTTCTAGCAGGTTTGCCCAAGCGCACGCCTGGTGTGAAGGGCAAGGGGCTGCCCTGGAGGCGCTGCARGTGCCCCGTGCTCTGCGTGTCCCTGCTGGAGCAGGGGGTCGGGCTGGATGATCTCTAGGGGTCCCTTCCAACCCCAGCCCTTCTGTGACACCGCGGGCAGAGCCGGCCCCACGGCGCGGCCTCCGCAAGGCGCCTCCACAAGCAGCAACACCCGCCCGGCTCCACTTCCCTCCAGGAGCATCCGTCTCCTCCGGCCTTGGTTTCCGCTACAGACACCCACAGAGGTGCCGAGGCWGCTGCATCAGTCGAACCTTTAGCGAGGCCTCCCGCGAGAGCACGTCGTACTTCTCTTTGAACGGCACGTTCCTCTCCTCCGGAGGGGCGGCATCTTCCCCGGTGCACGCGGCGTCACTCTTCCGATGGAGAGGGTAGTGCTGGCGGGATTGAGGGCAAGGGCGGCCGTCAGCGAGCCAGCCTCTGCGGGAAGGTAAGGAATTCAGCCCGGGAAGCAGGTCGCGGCCGGCCGAGGCGCCAACGCACCTGTAGCAGGATGGGCGCTGAAGCTGGAAGCCTTCCCACGTCGCTGCACCTTCGGCTGGAATGAGTCCGGTTCTGTGAATGGAAATCAATCCAGAAAATTYCCTTCCCCTAGGTGTCCCAGAGGGGTGGCAAAAGGAATTACACTGTAACTATGGAGAGGGTGCTGTGCTTTTGAGGAGAGCAGTTTCAGCACAAAAAAAAAGATTAAAACCTTATTAAACCACCAAGAGAAGCCCCTAGAAGCTACAGGAATCGGCTGGTTTGAAGGCTAGAGATCAACGGTGTAAGTCAATGCAGAGATCCTGACACATGTCTCGGCAGAGGCAGGGGGCGGGCTGAGGAGCATTCCCTGCCATTCCCAGGAGCAGGGCACAGGGCAGCGGCCAAACGGCTCCGTGCACGGGGAGATACAAGGAAGGAAGGGAAGGTGAAGAGGAAGAGGGTTTCACCAGCACGTCGGGGCACGAGCTGGGAGCAGGCGCTTTTCCGCCGCGCATCCCGGCCGCTCCCGCCCGAGCCCGAGGCAGCCCGTACCTGCCGGGAGCAGTTGAGCGCGCGGGACAGGGCGGCGAGCTCGGCCTCGGCCGCGCGGCACTCGGCGCAGCCGTCGCCCTCCAGGGCCACGCTGTTCACCAGGACGAAGCTGCCAACGACACGAGAGCGGTGAGGAGCGCGGAGGGCAGGGG